AGGAAAACTTGTGGGGAAGGAACAGACCACCACTTCGATCAAAATGGTCTGAATCTAAACAATTTCACGTCTCTTTAGAAGAAGGAAGCGCGCGGATAAAGCGCTGCTCGTCCCAAATAGCATCTACTTCATGACTAGCTCGGAACCGACTGCATAAAATCGACTGTTAGTGATAAGCACATCACAGTACCAGCTCACTCAGACGAACCATCATCTTAGTTTCATAAATATCTAAATCCCTCGACTCGAAAGCTGTTGATCAAGTGGCAGTGGATCTGTTCACCAGGCTGGCCTACTGGCTAGCAAACGTTCCGTCACTAGTCACGTATTGGATAGAAAAGGATACGTACATTATGTCTAACTGGAACAAACGAATGGGGAGGAATGATTGGCATTGTCCGTTGTACAAACAACCTCATTGTTTATGAGACTGAAGTTGCAACAAGCCACACGGGCGCTGAGTATAGAAGAATTCCACCATAGAACTCACCGTGGCGTACCAAAGGTTAAACCATTACAATACGCAAACAACAAAAGACATCACAGGGTTGGATAGAACATAAACCAAACGTACGGCGGCCAAGTAGGGTAACGAGATAAACGAAGCCAGTACACCTGGGGTGCAACGTATAGGCAACGTATGGAAGATTAGCCTTCCGTGCGAACTGGTTGCTGCGAGCCAGCGAGGTTGAGCACAGATTGGTGCCTTCAGGGAATATGAGTAGCTGTAGAGCAAAGGGAGAGAAGCCAGATGCAACGACCATAGAGGTCAAGAAAAGAAAGTGAGGATAGTACTCAAAGTAAACAGTACTCACAGACAGTAGGGTGTGATTACCCAAAATGTCGCGAATACTGACCCAGTGAAACCTGAGGTATCTGCACATTCGACCGATAAATGCAATCAAAGCGCATTTCAATATTTCGTTATCATCGGTAGAGTGAACAAACACGATAGAAGCAAAATGATGCTACCCTGTCACAACTATCGATCTGATTGGCTTATCTTGATCTCTCTAATCACCATCACTACAAATGCTATTTGATATTCTTTAGCCGTATAATCTTACGACTTTCGTCACCCATATTTGCGCCTAATTCAAGAAGCACACTCACATACTGAAAGCAGGAAAAACGGAAAGCTAGAAACGGATACATGGTGCGAATAAACATTGACGTAAGTTCCAGCAACCGCATTCCATTAGGATGTGAAGGCAAAAATGTATGAGGCATGCATTTGTCGGGTATCGAACCAAAACAGATGCGTGAGCAAAATGGGTTGATTCAGATGACTGTGGCTAGATACCTCCAGCACTATGTGTCACAGGTGATTCCAGGTAACATGAATTCAAGGCGTAAAGCCATAAATGGCGGCAGTTTGGATTCAATGACAACTATGCAAGGAATTCGTGTGTATCCCCTCGGAACAACCTGATTACATATAGACTAATGAACTGTCAATCACACTCCACTTACAAACGCCATTTTCAACAAAATCGACCCTGTAGAGGTCGAATGCGATTCGCTTATCTACTTGAAGCAAGAGGCCGGGTTGACCTAGACGAACGCGATGATGCAGTTGGTAGGACAACCAAGGCGGGGAACAGAGCTCACCTCAGGAAAGAACACGAGGCGGACCTGAACTTCGATATGGCTAGAAGATGACATAACGAGTGGAAAGTTTTTTTCCGAAAAAGGAGATGGAGGCATGAGGTAATGTAAAAACTGCAGTGGTCAAAGGGTGTTAAACGGGGACAGCTCGAACAAGCGAATTCGGTTCAGCGTACACCAGTCAATCATGGAGGTATTCCGCGGTAAACAATCACAGAGGAACGCAGTTCATGGTCATCTAACTGCCAGGATCCATTTTCTTGTCGGCGACGCAGTTGAAGTAAGAGAGGCACTTCGAACAAACAAAGTTCAATTTGACTCAAACCGCAGCGAACCCAGCAGAAGCTGGTCGGATCGCTAATAAACATTTGATCAACCCACGCGGAATGTACAGAACCTCATTGGTACATCGTGATAGATCGAGCTTTTCCTCCAATGAACGAAGTTTTTGTTTTACTTGACTTCCGGGAACACAGGAGCTGCTGAGGATGACAAGTTTCTCTCCCTAAGTTGCACCCTTTCACACAAAGTGAATTCAACGTACGAAGTGGCTGAGGTAGCCGACCATTATGAAATAGTAAAGCGCCCAAGTCCGTCCACGGTATTCACTTGTAGGCTTATAGTGCTAAAATAGTTGGATTAAAGAATATGCGTGCCGAGCGGCTTATGCAACAAAGTATGTATTCTACCCCATTGCTGAAAGTACAGTTAGCCAAACACAAGTCATTTTAGGTCCCTACTCATAAAACCGAAGAGAAACAAGTGAGGATGAACCGGAACTAAAAAGTGCAGTGTCTAGACAGTTCGTTATTACCAGTTCACTCATAATTGTGGGAACTTTACAGACAGTTGGGTTGAAAAGTTAGAGAAAACTCTAAAAAGAACACCGTTTTATCAAGGACGTTGTGATCACTGTCCAAGACGGCTGCGATTGCGGATAGTATAACCACGTGCAGAAACTCCTTCCTCACTTTTGCTCTGGTGGACTAAAAGAAACCGGTATAGACTCCATGCATTAATGATACCCACGGGCCACTTGATCACTGATTGACACATGCAGATGCGTTGCAATGTTGAATGACAGCTGAACATACTTCCGGTTATCTACGTTGCTCGATATCTTCGTTTAACGCCTGCTTTGATCTCATTCAGCCCAGTCAATTCATCTCAGTCTTAGGAGATACTGAAAATGGCATAATTCGTATCTCACCCGACAACAGAAAGTAGGGTCATTATGCATTTAAGCCGTTGACCACCTAATGAGCGTGTAAACTGTATTCGCCAAGAGGCAACCGAATGTTTATATCAAAGTCATAAACGGAATGCTTATCAGCCAATCGGGTTTCAACTGTACTCTGGAAATACCATACAAGGGGAACCATTCCATCCGCATCATACATCCTGCTGACGAATACAATGTGCCGAAACTCATCCATCCGTCAAAAACTAATCAAACAGGCGGCTAACAAGCCGGGATTCGGAACAATAATGTCAGCAGCGTTACAGTTCATGGTGGCTGCAGTTGAAATTGAAATCTTGAAGTTTGACGACTTCACTGCTTTGGACTTTCCAAACGAATATTCTCTGCATTTTGCTCCAGCTTCAGTACGTAGTGGCACGAAGGAGGACAATTCAACGCCAACAAATGACCATCCAAATGCATGTTTCAACATCCCTTGTCTTCCCAAATCCCGGTGAAATGAATTATCGCTGTTGCACTAATTGTGCACCGGATTTACCGTGTTTATGACTGAAAAAAGTCTGCACAGTAGCGGCATAAGTTCGAGTCCTCTATTCTGTCTTACCTCCATCAGTCTCATCTATGGGATCTAACGAAGGAAACTGGAACGATGTTGATTTCCAGAGACTCAGCAACGATCAGCTGCCAGTGGCTAAGCACGGGTATTGACAAACACGTGATGCGGATAGTATGTCAGATACAGATAAGATCACGTAATCACGTGTACCTGAGTGCCATCTCAATAGGGTGATTTTAGTGTCACGTAGATCACAGCTGCTCCAGTGCTTTCATACCATGCTGGCAGAGTGAAATAAAGATAACACCTGAGCTCAGTTATCGGTGTGATCCCCAAGTTAACGCTTTAAGCAGGAAAAACACCGAGATTACGGAGAGACATCAGTAAGTGACGTGAAGCTGATACTGGGCTATGATTGACTCTTAAATCCAGTATTTAAAAACATAAAACGACTCGAAACTGGGTTGACTTCAACAGCCGGCGCCCGACTACATGCGGTTAGGCCATGTGAGTGTAAATTGTAGCCAAACAGGCACTTATCTTCACCCCTTCACTGTTGAGCAGGATTCTGCAAGCCGGTTTCTGGCAAACGACTTAGGTCCAAAATCAATATGCAAAAGAACTACGTAAAATCGACAAATGTAGAAGTGCTGTATGTGTGAGGTATTCTCGGTTTTTAGAGTCTATAGTCATACAAAAACTAAGAAACCACAGTAATCCCCCCAGAGGAAAATGTCATAGAGGGATGGGTATTTGTCTAACCCGGGAACATCGAGTCGTGGCCCACGTGGAATGTCAGTATGGACTCATCAAGGCAATCGCACTTCTTTGGAGCAGTCTCTCCTAGAGAGAGGGATTCTGTACACACCACCAAAAACCGCAAAACAGAAGTCCGTTTTATGGTCATAAGGACATCCAAACTTACACACATTGTATGCTTATGAACAAGAGAGAAGAATTCGCACACAAGTTCGCAAGGCAGGAAGTAAAAATTTATGTAGATGAAAGTACATAAGGATTTTTCGAGTATTCAAATGTGCTTTTCTTGAAAACTTCAACACATCATGTGAGCACTGCCGACCAAAGCTTCAATGAGCCTTGGAGCTGTTACACACAACTATGGAACACACCGACAACGAAACACATAACACGGGTGGGATATTCCTCGTTATTTTTGTTATGACGTACTTTACTACAGGCTGCTGTGGAATCAAAACACGCCACAGGGGAACGTCCTGGATAAGAAAATTGACACGAATGAGGGCACAGAAGCTGCATACAAATCAATAGGAAAATAGGCCACTCATGTGAACAGAATCAGGCAGGACCTGCCAGAGTCAACCACGAACGAATACCTCGCCTGTATTGGTTGAATGATTGGTGGATGAACCATCTCGAAGTGCGCACTATATGAACCGTTTTGGAATGGTCGTTGCACTTTCAGTTTGGGTCGAACATGGCTGACAACCCGTACGAAACAGTTCACTTTCATCTCATACATAGCATTGGAAATCCGTTCAATAACAAGGACAAGACTCAACTTACATCACAAAAACCGTTTACGTATGCTTTAATCTTACGTGTGCATCAAGAAAGCAGTTAATAATTAACTCCATTTGAACATTCGTCTCTCATTGTGTGACGATGGTTTCAAAGCACCTAGTGTAGTTCTGACACGATTACCAAGAAACTCTTCCAAAGACAAGTATTGAGAGTTTATGGGCCTGATATTGCAAGGCAAATCTGCCCAAATTTATCCACTGAGTATTCCCCGCACTCTCCCCAAAAGCGCGCTTAGAGTATTTACAAAACGCAGCTGATAGGCTATGGTACGTATAAGTTGTCCTGAAAGTTGGGAAAGTCTCCAGTTCTAAGAAATGAACTGGGAACCACTGTCAGTAGCAACCATTTGGGGAACACCGAATTGAAAAACTAGCAGGCGTACGTGTAGAAAAACGGTGGAACAAGTGGTGGTACCTCTCACTTGAAAAAATTCGCGCCACTCTGAGTGAAAGCCAATAAGTAGAGGGTGGTGGAATACCTTAATAAGTCTGACCAAGCGATATGAATGGGGCGACTTGGAGCCGGTCAAAACTTGTACTCACATGTCACAAGCCATTTAAGTGCCAAACCATAGCTGTTAGAACGAACAGCATTCTCGATATCCTGATCAATGAACGGCCGGTAAGTGTTGATTTCATACGGTTAATTCTTCATGAAATCGGCCTCAGAAAAAAATCTATCCTCTGGAACTAATAAAGGATAGCGCTGTATGTCCCGTGTGTACCATCGTCGAGCCAAAAAATCACCATAAATGTGTAAACTGCCATTGGGCGTACTAATGAATACAACAGAAGCGCCGTAAGCACAGATTCCTGTAATGACATGTCTGAAGTTGTCTCCAACCATGATAACAATCAACTTCGGTCTCCATATCTTTAGGAGAGCATAATCCACGGAAGAATTGATGGGACTGAACTGATTACCTGATAAATTATTAGGCTGGAAATACTCGCATCCTCTGCTGACAACGTCAGTGTAATTAGTAAAATCAATCCCCCGGGAAAGGGCGCTTAAGAATTTGGAAACACCGGAATCGTGCACTGAAGATTGATATTATGGGAGCAAAAATTCTGGTAAGCTGCTTTCCTCTGGTGATACATCCCAGAAAGTTTCTGGTAGAATTTAACTGAACTATCTTCCCCATTCTGGTGAACTCAGGTTCTCCGCACGCGAGCCGCATCACTTAGGATGCTCCCATCAACTATCAACAAGTCTTCGCAGTGCCAATTCATGCCTCGAAAGTAAGGCTGTCGTCCGGTTGGTAGTGAAATTTTATCACGCTGTGCGACAGAATGTAGGCAACTGATGTCGCTGAGTCTGTATCTAGTCGTTTTGACTATATATAGTATATGGTTGTAGTATTTTGAGTAGGCACAGTTTAAACTGTGATTGCTAAGTGAATAGCATCCGATGATCAAATTCCACGGACCACTATGACGCCCAGCAGCGAATCGCTTATGTCCAGTTCATTATTCTGTTGTAAAATACTCTACTGCTGACTACAGTGCCCTTAAGGCGGAATAAAAAAGGCGCCAGACAGGAATGAGCTGCATTGTGAAGCTGGTACATGCGAAGGCAGAGAAGCGCAGCACAAATCAGTGCGGAATGATCCAGTCATGTGAAGGGAACCATCAACAGCGAGAGCGATTGGTCAAGTAGCAAACGGATACCATGCCTGCATTTGTTGCTGATCGGTGGATGAGTCGGTGAATGTCCAGAACTAACCACCAAGGCTAACGGGAACAAACTTGATAAATAAGTCAGGCCATTGAGAATGAAGTGCACCCCACCCCCAACGGTGTGCAATTTCCAGCCACTTAGTTGGCGGCGGTAGTCAAATGGCCCACAAAAATCAACACAGCTCCATTTCGCTTTACAGCAATGCACTGATTATGTAATCTCGAACTTTGATGAAGGGTTTGCAACGAAATTACGGCGTTCAGCGGACAACCCGACCAGCACTTTCGCATTCAGCAAGATGCGACCTTATGTAGGGAAGATTGTAGCCACCGCATCTGACTACTGCTTCGAAAAAAAACAAGGACCGGGGTAAGTTGAACGCCAAAAGACTTCACCTGGTGCACAAGGATAAATCTTACTTAATCATTTAGGAACTCGTCACTAACTAAAGCGCACTGGAGAATACCGCGCACAACTCAGTTAACCGGGTTAGCAAACATGGATAGAAAGCAGTGTATGGAAGTTCAGTCCAAGCACGGTACAAGTAGGGTCAAAAGGAAAGTACGAAATCCATGAGCAGTTTAACAGAAGGAGTGATGTTCCCGCGACCTGGACTAGTGCATTGTACTCACAATAATTTGATTTGTCGTTGAATGTATCAACAGTTTCATAGTACATCATGAGCTATACAATGTCACATAAGATTCCGACCACCGATGAGTAGAATGGTCAAGACACACACACTGTCATTCAATGAAGTAGAAACACTCAAAGTTAGTCTACAAGTTCAGTAGATGTGATGCAAACGACGCAGTTTGATAAGCAGAATAACATTACATGTTTACATGAAGGAAACTACTCACAAGGTTGCAACCTTGTGAGTAGTTTCCTTCATGAAAATATACTGCGATAACCCGAATGTCGTACCAACTGAAACACGAGGCGGCCTGTGTGCAGCACATTCAGTTGTAGAATATCATAAACGAGAGATTCAGTTGAGCCTCTCGTGAAAACCAAATTGATTTCCAAATGAGTGTAATTCTCGAAAACATTACATGTTGTTGTGTCCCTGTTTATCAGGACGGTTGGAGCGTATGACAGGAAGATCACTGCAACTCATACGGGGAAATGTAGTCAGTTTACATTTATAGATGGTCTACCCTCCGTTGTCTATGGCGGTTCCGAATACAACTTAAATGCCACAGTGATGAGGCGCTCGAAATGGTCAAATGGGCATTTGGAATGGCTTCAGCTTCGTGGTTGTCACAAAAAATCGTTCTATACTTTCCAGGAAGCTAATCCGTTCTCAAGGTCGACTTTCATAGAAAGCCATCAACACACGATCAGCCGCAAACATGCACAAAAGCCAACAGCTCAAGTCGCGACACCTATCCTGAATAAGGATCGCGTCAAGACGTATTGGGAACTCATAGGATATTGAATGTCCCGACAAAAGCTACCATACAAGTATTCGATGGGATGTCATTATTCGCTGGGAGGCACGCTGGTGATATCAGTCGGCAGCTGAAACCGCAATACTGGCAACAAACAGTAACTTTAAAGGGTGGAAGAAGATGAAAAACTTATGGTGACAATAGTGAGGCACTGCTCTCGATCAGGTTCACAACTTGGTTGGATAATAAACCCATTCCAACGTTCCTGGATCCTCCAAAGCGGCCACCCCAACAGTTGTGTCTCATACAGACCACTAAGGGACTTCCACTTCATTGGTGGGCAAGCAATTCGTCCATTCTTTCTGCCTCCCAAGCAATCAATCCGTCAGTCCTGGTGAATTTCCAGTGACAAATAAACACCTCAATCCAGAACTGGCTGATTCCGTTAATGCCGCGACCAAATCACAAGGGTCAGAGATGAACCCGAAACCCACAGCAACGATCGTGAAGCATCTCCTTGATAGCGGTCAACGCAAGACTGTTTACAAATCTTGAGGCGAAACTTGAACCCTGGGTCACTAGTGTTTACTTGAAACTTATGGTGACAATAGTGAGGCACTGCTCTCGATATGGTTCACAACTTGGTTGGATAACAAACCCATTCCAACGTTCCTGGATCCTCCAAAGCGGCCACCCCAACAGTTGTGTCTCATACAGACCACTAAGGGACTTCCACTTCATTGGTGGGCAAGCAATTCGTCCATTCTTTCTGCCTCCCAAGCAATCAATCCGTCAGTCCTGGTGAATTTCCAGTGACAAATAAACACCTCAATCCAGAACTGGCTGATTCCGTTAATGCCGCGACCAAATCACAAGGGTCAGAGATGAACCCGAAACCCACAGCAACGATCGTGAAGCATCTCCTTGATAGCGGTCAACGCAAGACTGTTTACAAATCTTGAGGCGAAACTTGAACCCTAGGTCACTAGTGTTTACTTGAATCAAATTAATTCACGATTATCTACCGGAACTATATGTTCGAAGGTTTTTTACGCAGATCTTGTGGCTGCGACAGCACTGATTATGTCAACGTCTAACAGCCAGTGAGTGCTCGTTCGATAAATATAATTTCTTGTCTTGATAAAGAATCTTGCATGCTTTACTTCCGCAGCTAGGTAGACGGTGAAATTGTAACACAGCGCGACATAGAACTTCTTTCTGTCGGTTCGGTCATTTCGACTTAGTGCTCGGAACTTTCCTGAAGGCTAGATAGTGAATCTGATCAGAAGCCGTGTAAATAGCTTCCGTCAGAATTCCATAACAAAAAGAACGAAAATAGGGCCAAAACATTCTAGGGAGAAATGCATGACAAAGCAACACCAAAAACAATGGACCTACCTCACAACCAGCTCCACTGTTAAGCAGATAGGAAATCAATGTATCGATCCGCGACTGATCCGTGGCAATCTGACGTCGAATGAATATAAACGATGCACACTGCATAGCCCATCCAACTCCGGGGAATTTCGCCAGTGACTCCTTCAGAATGATTTTCATTCGCTGAACTGGGGCACCAAGACCCCATGCAAAAAGCCAATCGAGCTGAGTTCGGTGATTGAGCAACAGCAGGCTGGCACCGTCAGGTGAATGGGGAAGGAAATCGTCACCAAAGTGTCGCACTCTCACACCGGCAACTTTGACTATCAAAAACTGTCATGAAAAGAAGCGTACGAACAGAGTGAATTCGTAAGAAAACAGTAATACATTATAATCCACATAATTTTAAAATGCTTCCGTGTGTGCAGGAACTGTAAAATACACAGGAAACAGAGACGCTGGTGGTACTTGATAAGTGTCGACACTTGATGACTCCAGTAAACATGTGATATGACAGACCGGAGATTTTTACGTGGAGATCCATTCGTCCGTTACAAAGTCTATCTAGCTAGTTTGCCGTTATTCTTATACTGCTGATACCGAATCACTACCATTCCCCTTCAAGAAAAGCACAAACTACCACATGATAACAAAGAAGCAATTCCATTCACGCATGATCAGCTAGGAACAAAACTAAAGTGTTGCAACGGCTGTTCATCTGCGATATAGGGAAGGCAAACGAGTATCGATGATGACCGATACCTTGCACGAGCTCCAGGTAGATAACAACATTATGAGAGCCTCGTGACTAAGACGGAGTAGCCAGTTTGCTTGAACCATACTGATCACTAATGCTAACAGCTGATATATCCCGTCCTTATTGAAAATGACACAAGGTATCATCCTGTAAGTGAAGCCAATCTATGCTGAAAAGCCGAGAAGCTTTTCAGCATAGATTGGCTTCACTTATAGGACGAAATCCCACAAAAATTTCAAATCTCCTCACACTACCAACACAAGGTATCACTTTGATCGTTTCCAGCTGAACGACGCTGAGTGGTGCTACAACATACAGGGCCTGCAAATTAACGTAGAAAGTGTGAATGGTTGTTTCTTGAAACACATCTCAGCATTATTGACCCCGATTCCAGATTAATGGTCCAGGATGATTTTGTGATCGAGCCTTGAAGGGATCCTAAGGTCCGGTCGTGTTTCTGACTAATATTATCGCCTATGTCGTTTCCACGGCTAAATATCCTGACGCTGCCAACCCGAAAAACGGCCTCGCCTTTCGCGCATCTAGTCTCAATAGAAAAATATCTGACCACCATAACTGGTTCCATCGTTTTCAGAAGCCAACCATGAAACTGATCTGTAGAGTAAGGGTGAAGTATGCTTTATCCCAAAACAAAAACACCAAACAAAATTGATCTAAGTAGTGGGAAGTTCGCGTATGGGGTTGAAAATGTCAAATGGCGATTGCTTTGTTGACTTAAGCAAGTACGTGGGGCATGAAGTCAGAGCTAAATTGTCCCCAAAAATGGATCATGAACGAGGTTGTTGAGACATCATTCCACAAATGAACTGGAGATTAAGCTCCGAAAAGTCATCATCACCGCCAGCTGTAAAAACCGCGTACTTGTTGCACAGTAGTCGCAGCTACCACATTTTCAGTCACCGATGATCTGGTAAGGTAGGGGTGGATAGGTGCGTAATGGAGGCGGTAGCCGATATAACTGACTCGTAGATACAGGGATGTCAGTGGACTTTTCACTGGGGATATCGGGACGGGAACCTATGCACTGAAAGCAACAGCTTGAATAGACAAGCGACATTTAGGGCGCGACTAGGCCGTGTATGACAATGTCTCCAACCATTAATGATTCCGTCTCGGCANCCATCCAAGATGATAATGACTAACCCAGCTGAGTTTGCTGATAACAGCTTTCATAGTTCACGAGCAAGTCTCCGCTTCACCTCTCCTGGCGCGTTTCCACAATTCGCGTGACTGTGCGAAAGCTCCTAAAGGTGAAGGAACCTTCAGAGCAGATGATAAACCGTATGGGTTACAAACAAAAACCTCCGGGTAGAGAAACATGCTTCTGAGGAATACCATCGTGGCGCAAAAGCAGACGGAAAAGTGGTGACCAAAATAACACCATCTGAGTAATGTTGTTGATGTTTCATACTACGCGGTATTAACCGTTCAAAATGAACGTAAAGTAGCTCATTGAAAATGATCCAAAACTGCCACGAAAATTAAGCAAAGTGAGGAAACCTATGCAACTGTTCCCAGACCATAGCAACAACCTACCTCGGAGAATAAGAGCCATGACGCCATCGTCCAATCAATACACCACCGAAACAACTTGGGAGCCAAAAAAGCCAGCGGGAGTAACGGTCCTTGAAAGAAAATACTCCCGAAATAAGCGGACAACAAGAGTAGGAAGGTAATAACTCCGAACCGGAGGCCACGTGAAGTGGAAAAGGGAATGTTGGGTGAGACAGGGAGGGGTTCGCAGGGAACCTCAGTCTCGAGAATACCTTTCCGTACCGATAATTCGACTGTCACATCCCCAGCTGTCAGATCGGTGGCATCATTGAAGTTCTGCATGTCCTGAAAATAAAAACGCACAGTCACAGTCTGTGGAAGAAGTAGGATGAAAAACCTAGAGCAGAAAAGAGAGTCAAGTATTATTATGGGTGTGAAATGCAATTCGTATGCTTGGTGAAAATATATCGAACTCTCCTCGGTCTGAGAAGTTTGTTTGTCTTGTAGAAAGTAGAAGATATCTTCCTTGGTGGAGGAAAAGAACAGGGAATTCCAAAGATCGTCGCACAGTCGCTTGAAGGCACCGCAAATCGGTGACTCCTGTCCGTTTGGAAAAGAATACATGACCCCGATGAGGGACGGAAGTTTTGTTTTGCAAGAAGTGCACTTCTCTGTCAGGTGGCGGTTTGTAACTACGTCAGGAACCAGTAGGATCAGTGCACTGATATCAGTCAACTGTGCGGTTAATCAAACCATCTATAAGAGTTCCGTATATATATGACTTGTGATTGCGAACACGTGTCCTTCTGTAGATCATCTATGTTCAATTTTGGTTGAAGCAACAAAACGTTCAATACTATTAACGTTGAAAGTCACGTGCAGTAACGCACAATGTCCCCAAAAAGCACTAAATTACCTCTTGGAAACCGCACGCTTCAGCTTGATTTCGTAAGACTATGTCCAAGCGGTTCGCACATAAATTGTATCCCTGTGCTACTCGCACTGTGCCTGGGTGGAAGCTGTTGGTAAACCGATCCTGATTCACGAAACGTACATGATGAAATGCTGTCATATGATTGTTGGAAAATAACCAGCCAAGGACAAATCACACACTCCTAGGTGATACATAGTGATGATGGTTTTGAAGTAAACGAATAAACGACGATCAACAACAGTCAGTACGTATGTACCCGTGAAACAGCCACGAGTAAACTGAATACTGCATATAGCGCTGTAACCCAGGAGCAAATCGGTCCACCGACCCAGTGCGGATGTCACCCAATCCAAGGTACGAAGTTGATAGCTAAAGGACGTAGACAAGAAGCAGTCATCAGACACCCGTGGGTTACAGCAATTGTGGAGAAAATATCACGAGCATGTCACATTTTATAGTCAAGCATTTGCCACCCAAAATTTCGCTAGCCCAAACAGACAAGCTAAGCCCGATTTCTCAATTATCTGGGTTAATTTTACGACTCCACGGAGCCAAGGAAAAATAAAACATGAAGATAACCACCATGCGTGATACGTATATCTTTTATTCGGAATCGCATCTGCAAGTCCTTCTTTCAGATCACCACTAACCGGTCGTCAGTTGACTGCTAACTCATGAACAAGTGTAATTGGGACGACCAAGTAGTTAGCCTACCATCGAGACACTCTAGATATGTATATTCTATCACTTTCCGACCTGCCATGAAAAAATCTGCCCTAGAACACCGCACACGCCAACGGTTGCCCGTGACCACCGACGCATTACCTAATTCGGTTGAAACGCGTATAAAAATAAACGTCTACGCCGTTCAAACTTAGCTGTTATTCGCAACAGCATTAAAAGTCAGATGGCATACTCCCTACGTCCTCAATTTCGGTCAGCCTCCCACCACCAAGTGAGTCAGACTATCGAGTCATTGACCCACATAAATATGCCTCAAGAGAATCGGATGGTTGAGTCGAGGAACCAAGAACCGAAGGGTGCAGAAAATTTGGAAATCGCGCTAGCTTGCAACCACAAACAAGGGGGGAATGGATTGACCTAAAATGCACACAGACCTCGTAGCTAAAGAGTTGGAGCGCTATAGCATCGAAATAGCTGGTCTAATCGAAATCTAGTCGGCCGATCGATAGAGATTACGGGAAGCAAGAGAAGCTGAGATAGCTTCGTGGTTAAGGCGCGAACTTACTGACCGGAAGGTTCGTGATTTGAAACCGACCTCTGCATTTCGGCTGCTCCTGTCTAGGCCTAGGCTACCTGATAGTTCCCCAATCATCGTACTTCGTTCAGGTGGCATGGAAGCTACGCACCGAAAAGGTGTTACAGTCGAACGAGTATTATTACTTTATTACAGAAAGCTGTATGCACATTCCACTGATCCGAAATTTCACACGGCAGTCGACGGTATCATGTTTCCAAGATGTCTCACTCAGAAGCTGAAGAGTAACAATTTCGCATTGCTGTCACGAAATCCATTCAGTCTACTGATTGCCTATTCTTTATGGGTGATCTCAACGCCCAAATTGGGCAACCGGACATGAAAAGAAATAATCAGCCTGGTATGTCGATTAACGCTTCACGAATTAGTGAATTCATTCAAATCAAACGCTTATTTCCGAGTAGAACAGGCGAGTTGGTCCTTTTGTTTGGGTCCTCCGAATTTCCAGTGTTGAAAGTAACAAAAGGTCTTTCAGGTGGTCACAAGCGTCTTCCTCTCCGTCATGTGCATACCAGTGGTTGACCTCATACGTGCGGCTTTTGGCAGTTTGTGAAGTCACCGTTTAACATGTTTAGAAATGTCTCAACGATAAAACCTATCGAAGCCATAGACAAACGATGCAATATCACTAGTACTTCCGGTCATACTTTGCCCGGGTAAATGAAGGCCATCAACAAAAAAGGCCTGCATCTTTTTCTCTTGAGTGAGAGGGGACAAATCAGTAGTCTCAGAAGTCAGAAAGCATCCTTTGTATGGTTCACGTATGGTTCATTGTACCAAAATGAGATCGGGGACACGAATAGTTGAGAAAATGTGTAAATCGAAAGCTCTATCCACTCCTTATGTTCTACGTGA